TTTTTTTTGGACAGAGTGTTGCTGTGTCGGCCGGGTTGGAGTGCAGTGGCATGATTTCCACTCACTGCAACCTCTACCTCCCGGAGTTCAAGCGATTCTCCTGCCTCAGCCTCTCAAGTAGCTGGGATTACAGGCACATGCCAGCAGGCCCAGCTAATTTTTGTATTTTTAGTAGAGATGCGGTTTCACCATGTTGGCCAGGCTGGTCTTGAACTCCTGACCTCCAGTGATCTGCCCACCTTGGCCTCCCAAAGTCCTGAGATTACAGACGTGAGCCACTGCGCCTGGCCCAGCCTGCTTATTTCAGAGGTGACAAAAAGAAGGCCCAGAGACAGCCTGACTCGCTCAAGGTTACACAGCTTGTCGGAAGGGCAGAGCCCAGAGCTTAGGTGTCCTGGCCCCTGCTCAGTGTCCTGTCCAAGGGTTCTGTGTAGAGGGGCTTGAGGCCGTACCACCTACCCTCACGGTCGTAGGTCCCCAGACCTGCCTGGCTTCTCATGGTCAAAGGTAGGCAATGTCCCATCCACTGTGCTGGGTCTCCCGGAACACTCCTGTGGGCGCCACGGTCCCCTCCCCAGGCCTGGGGCACACTCACCTGTCCGAGCTCGCACGAGCGCATCCAAGGCATACAGGACATCTGCCGAGTAGTCCAGGAGCAGCCACAGCATCAAGTACTCGGACTGCAGCTCATCGAAGCAGGCCCTAAAGACGCCAAGTGGTAGACGGATGGCTGTGCGTGTTTCTGGAGCACGGGCCACCCGTGTGTGGGCACCGGCTCTGTGCTGAAGACGCTGGATCATGTCATCTGGGAATGGCCCTGCCTGCGGTGTCACTACCTCAGCATAATCACCCGAGCTTCCGATGAGGCACCACTGTCTCTGAGAAGCTTTTCTGTCCCACAGTCACAGAACTCCTGAGAAGAGCCAGGACTGACCCCAAAGAGCGGCCCCATTGCGTCTCAGCAGAGAGCTACAAGATCCCAGGAGGTACTGTTTTCCAGGCCTCACTGGCAGAGTCAGGTAAAGGGGCTAAGGACCTGCCCTTTCTGGGGTCAAATTTCAACGAAAAATAAGAGAATTTCTGAGAGATTAACAATGGAACAGGCAGTAAATATTTTCTACCTTCTCCATCTTTCTGCTGTTTCCCACACAGGCAGCACCCCCAGCTCTTCTCCTAGCCTCACGGGCACAGCAGCCTGCCCCTGCCGCCCCTCTGCAGCTTGCTCAGCACCCCAAAGCCTCCAGCTGGGCGTGGTGGCTCATGTATGTAGTCACAGCTACTCGGGAGGCTGATGCAGGAGAATCGCTT